AAATAGGTTCATACGTAGGATGGGGAGAATTTAACAAAGCATGTTGTGGTGGGGGGAAGCAAAGTTAAAGAGCCCCCCTACTATTTTTGGGATTGTGGTGGTGGTGGATGGATGCCATGGAAAGGCTGGATATAAATTTTCCCAATCATTTTGGTGAGGGCTTCTTCAAACATATAACTTGCTCATTGAATCTGCCATGGGAAATCCTCCTGGCTCCATCACAATGATAAAACATATCCACTGAAGTCATCTCAGTTAATTCAATTTGTCACAGTGGTGGATATATAATCAGTAATTCATAATTCATATGGCATTTACATGCTACCTACTGGGATTTTTTTTCCCTTGCAAAAAAAAAAATAGAACAAAAACTGAAAATTCACGAAGAGGCAGTAATTTGGAAACTTTAATGATCGAAATATATATTTCCAGAAAGCACTGCCTGACCCTGTACATTTTGTTAGAAAAAATACAGTGTTGGGATAAACACAGAAATAGAATTTAAAGATAAACATGAGCATACAGAGGAAGGAGGGGAAAGAAAAGGAAGCCACGAGATGAGGACATCAGCTGCCAGAGATAAGTGATGAGATGGAAACAATCTTTCAAGATCAGACAAAGACCAGAAAACAGTAACCAGAGATAAGTTAATAGTTGTTGCCATTGACCAAGTTATGTTTGATCCAACAACCTAACAAGTCAACACAAGGTTGGGATGAAATCAGTGGTGGTATTCAGCCGGTTCTATCCAGTTCGGGTGAACTGGTAGCGGCGACTGCAGGAGGCTCCACCCACCCGCCCAGACGTCATCACATCCCATTTTTGATGCTCTGCTCATTTTTGTGTAGAAGGTCCTGTGCATGTGCAGAGGTGTCATGTGCAAGCAAAGTGAGTGCGCAAGCGTGTGCGCTCACATTTGTGAACCAGTAGCAAAGGTAAGTCAATACCACCCCTGGGTGACATGGAAAGGAATGTTTGGCAGATGATGCTGGCTATAAATTAAAAGGAAGATATAAGAGATCCCATTCTGAGGAACTTCATCATGTATGTACATTACCACTAGATTTTGGCATCCCTGTCTCCTCCAGTACCCCATATAACCGTAGGGGTGAACCTATGGCACACGTGCCAGAGGTGGCACACAGAGCCATCGCCAGCTGCTCTTCCGCGTTCCATTGCAGGCATGCGCACTGGCCAGCTCAGGGGTGAAATGCTCCTGGTTTGGACTGGATCACCCAAGAGAGGGGAAGGAGTAGAGAGAGAAGAAGGGAGAAGAGAGGAGAGAAGAGAAGAGGAGAAAGAAGAAAGGGAAAAGGAGAGGAAGAAAAGGGAGGGGAAGGAGGAATAGCGGAGAAGATTAGAAGGGGGAAGAAGAGAGGAGTGGGGGAAAGAAGGGGAAGTAGGAAAGAGGAGAGGAAGAACGAAGGAAGTAGGAGGAGAAAGAGGAAGGAAGAGAAGGGGATGAGAAGAAGAAAGGTTGGAGTAAAGGTAAAGGGTAAAAGAGCAGTCCCGAAAAAGGAAAAAGGAAAAAGGAAAGTTAAAAGAAAAGATGAGTGAAAAATGATGGAAATGACTGTACATGTAAACGTGTTTATGAGAAATAAAAATAAAAATCTATATTAAAAAAAATTAAAAAAAATAAAACAGCAATGGAGGCGGGTGGTTCAGAGAACCGGTAGCAAAAATCCCTGGGCCCCCCTCCCAACTGAGCCGCGCAATCATCAGAGCCTTTTTTTAAAACATTTTAAAAGCATTTTTTCTACAACCTCTTCAGCCAAAGGGGTTGTAGAAAAAATGCTTTTAAAAGCCTCTGACGATCCCAGCTGAGCTGCGCGATCATCAGAGCCTTTTTTTTTTACTTTTAAAAGCATTTTTTCAGCCGAAGAGGTTGTAGAAAAAACGTTTTTAAAAGTTTTTTAAAAAAGCCTCTGATGATTGCGCAGCTCAGCTGGGATCGTCAGAGGCTTTTAAAAGCATTTTTTCTACAACCTCACGCCCACCCAGTCACATTACTCCCACCACCAAGCCACGCCCACAGAACCAGTAGTAACAAATTTTACACTTCACTACTGGGCCAGATGCTCTCTTCCGCACACTGGAACCCAGAAGAGAGCAGCTGGCCGGCGTGCATGTGTGCGACAGAACCCAGAAGAGCAGCTGGCCGCCACGCGCATGCACACCAGCCAGCTGCTCTCTTCCAGGTTCCGGCGCTCTGGCACATGCGTGCATCACTGCCATATAAGCTTATCCGATTCATAGTAGGGAAAGTTGTAAGTATGAGAACACAGACCTGAGTGCATGTGATGCCTTTTCCTCTTTTTAAATGGAATTTTAAATTTGGTTTTAATTTATTGGGGTTTTAAAATGTCTCAGCCAAATTTATTTAATTAGTTTTATCTCTATTTTAAATTTTGTATCTATATGTTTTATTTATGGCTGTTCACCGCCCTGAGTCCTTCGGGAGTAGGGCGGTATACAAATTTAATAAAATGAAAAAAAAAAAGAAAGAAATGAAAATGCCTGAATCATAAATAATAAAGCTTTTCTAGATTAAACGAAAAAGTCACAGTAGTGGTTAAGGCACCAGGATAGAAACCAAAAGCCCATGAGTTCGAGTCCCATTTTAGGCATAAAACCAGCTGGACAACCTTGGGCCAATCCCTGTCAGTCTTAGGAAGGAGGCAAGGGTAAACCACTGCCGAAATCTTGTCATGAAAACTACAACGGTTTCTCCAGGCAGTCACCAGAAGTCAACACTGACTTGAAGCCACCCAAAAAAAGAGAAAAAAGTTTAACAGAGTATGTGCTGTATGTTACTGCATGTAATCCTAAACTGCATCTCTGTTGTAAGGGTGGGAGTGTGCCTACTAACAAATTATGCTCCTACTTGCTATTAAGCCTCAGTCATCTCTGTCTACTTCCAAGTGGATAGTAAATCAGAAGGCAAATGGCCTGGATGTGTGTTTCAGTAGGGAATATGAACAAGGAAAAACTAGTAAATTTGAAATGAAGTCTATGTAGAGATGAATGTTGCCATTTTCAGGATCCTTTATTGTCAAATAAAAGTGCAGTACTGCATATAAAGGCGCATTTGAATACATGTGTTAGAATTCTGAAATGTGCTATTGACTTCAGATTTCAGAAAGGAAAAGTTTCAGAACACTCACTAAATATTCACCAAACCTGGGCCACCACTGAAAAGATTATTCTAAAACTTTATCCTTGTGGATTACTGTAGTAGATGAAAGGCCGTTTCCCTTAGATTAAAACAAAGGTTCTCTAATAGTAACTTAATGCTATTTTGAAATAAACTCCCATGAACTACAATGCCTAATGAAGTGGGCTACAGTCCATAAAAGCTTTTGCTATAATAATTGCTAAGGTTTTATTGTACCAAAATAGTGTTGCTTTTGCAATAATAATCAAACATAGCTATCCCTTTGAAATGTCTGCATCAGTGAATATACACCCATGTGATTCTTGACTTATGACCGTCATGGCCAGCCGTCACCGATGTTGTATGTCCGTACTTAAGAACCTCAATTTGCATATCTTGATATCAAGATATCAAGCAGGCATGGCCAAGGGTACAAGGTGAACAGTCCCATTCCGTTCCTATACCTGCCTTCATAAGTAATACAATACATTCATATTATTCTGATAATTGTATTCCATCCTTGATCTTTAACCACAGGTCTGAATATTAGGAAGCACGTTCCTGCTAAGCAACCATTTAGAAATGGGAATAATGATGCATTTCATCCATGCAGTGATGTTGATAGATTCTACTAAGGAAAATAGGTGGGCATGGAAATGTTGCAAGTACACAGAGAGATGAAGAAGAAAAAAGGGCATTGGAAGACTATCTGAAGGACAGTGAAGAAGATGCACTGAAGCTAGTCTACCCTGAAGGCTTACTGAGTGCTGGAGAAATCAAACTGGGCTACAGGAAAGATCAAATGAAGAATAGAGACATGGGAAGGCAAAGTATTACATGGCCAATATATTAAAACAGAGCAGGCAAAGGAAATAACAACATGATCTGGCAATGCTAACAGCAAGAAAGTTGAAGAAAGTGACAGAATGGCTAATTCTGACTGCAAGCTTTAAGAACAAATACATATAAAGCCAGAATTGAGGAAACAGCAACAAGCAGCAAGTGCCACTTCTGCAAAGAAGTTGAAGAAACAGTGGACCACATAGAGAAGAGTATATTTGTAGCTCAGAGTTCAAATTGGTGCTCTCTGAATTTGGTAGTTTTCTTGCAGATGTGTCATTACAAGCTAGGTAACATCATTGGTGCACCACCTAGTTAGCTACTGCAAGAAAATCATATGGACTGACTTTAAACACTGACATGACAGAGTAGTAATAATGGCTCATTGGAAGATCTGCAAGAAAAACCATTTGCTTGTAAGCAAGAACTTGCGGGGCCATAAAACAGACAAAGTAATAGCAAATGAAGAAACTAAAGTGCTCTGGGACTTTAGGATTCAAACAGACAAGCATCTGCCGCATAATATCCCTTTCTTATCAATAATCTTTATTATTGATAAGAAAGATAAAAAAAAGTCTGGATAGTGGACATGGCATTATTAAGAAAGCAGAACAAAAGAGAAAAACTTGGAAAAATCACAAAATGCAAATATCTGCAAATAGGACAACTATGACAAAAGAAAACGACTAATACTAATAAGCATCTTGGGTGCAATTCCAAAATATCTGGAGCACTATTTGAATACCATCAACATTAACAAAATCATCATCAGTCAATTGCAAAAGGCAGCTTTATTTGGAACAGCTTACATCCTGCGATTATACATTTACTATTATTAAAGAACAACATATGCCTATCCCAGGGTCTTGGGAAAGACTCAAGAGGTGGATAAAATTGCCAAATCAAGTCTAAACCGGTGGTGGATTTCTATCGGTTCACCCCGGTTCGGGCGAATCGGTAGTGGCAGCAGCAGGAGGCTCCGCCCACCTGCCCAGACGTCATCATGGATGCTCTGCGCCATGCTCCCAGTTCTGAACCAGTAGTGAAGGTAAGTGGAACCCACTCTGGTTTAAACATCTGACTAATTATATGACCCCTAATAATAATGTATCAAATTTATACGCCGCCTGACTCCTAGCAACTCTTGGCAGTTTGCAAATTGTTAACAACACTTCAAACCAAGAAATGGGGGGGGATAGAAGTGTCAGAGATAACAAACCCAGGTGGGAATGAAGAGAAAGAAGAAAGGGAGACTTCAATCACTCACTAGAGGCCTGGGTGAAAACAGTGTGAAGAAGTAGAGAGTGCCGTAAGGTATCTAGATGTACATTTTCACTTTAGCATATGACTCTCTGCAGTCTCATCCAGCAGAGTCAATGGCAAGGAATACTCAAAATTGTAGTTCAAGAACACCTGGAATACCACCAATTCCCCAACATAGGCTTTAATGCAACATTTGAATTCTGTGCAATACAGTTTACATGAAGTCTCCCTTGAATATAATTTTAGATGCCTGATATACTTGCTTACCAGACATTCTTACTCCTCATTCCCATTGGTGCCCAAGCTATTCTCATTAACAGGGAGTAACATACCTGTTACTTCTAATATATGGAAAATTGTTTAATTAAAAAATAGGCTTTTATTGGGTACCATGGGTTAGATTTTGGATTTACAGCTAGACCCAAGGAGAATGAGTTTCAAATTCCTACTACACAATGAAGTGCCTTCTATGTTTTTAAGTTAATATGCTTCCAGTTAACTGACTTCACAAGATTGTTGGGAGAATGGTTTTAATCAACAAGTAAAGAAAAATTCCATCCAGTAAGAATGCTGGGCAGTAATCTGTGGGGTCAGAGTTGAAATCTTCCCCAGCCCATGAAATCCATAGGATGAGCATGGCAATCAATGTCATAGGATTCTTATAACATTTTGGGATCCTGGAAATTTAGACACAGATGCTTACAGATTTTTAGAGAACTGGAGCTGGCAGCACGATTAGACAAATGTCAAGTGTCCTAGAAGGGATCTTGATTTCATAGGACCACTTTCTTTGACTCTTTTGAATACTAATATTTGATAAATTGATGGATCCATTGATTTCAAATCAGTATAACAGCCTAATATGGACTTGATCTTATCATCGATGCAAGCTGTGGAAAGTTATGGTCTGGGAGACAAATAGGTTTGTGTGAATATTCACCCGTTTATGAATTTTGACTATCAAACTAGTTCAAAAATGTATGCATAGGTTTTACAAACCTAATACATCCAAATCCATGACCAGTTCAGCTACTTTTCATCCATGTATTTTAATTATCTGAATCAAATCAGATCTAATTGGGAGACTCACTCCGGGAAAGTCTCAACAAATGCCAACAAAATTGGAAGCTTCAGTGCAATTAGCTAGGAAAGATTGGAAGTAGTGGTGGGCTGCAGCCGGTTCAAACCGGTTCAGGAAAACCAGTAGTTCTGACAATCAGCTGGCCCTACCCACCTGCCCCCGCCCTATCCTGTCCTATATTTCCTTCTTTCTGGCTTAAGTGATTCATGCGGCATAGCTGATGTCCATGCCTCCACTGTTCTACTTACCCGCGCCGCCTTAGAAGGTAAGCAGCTGAGCTTCAAATTGCTGTATTTTGAACTCTTGTGTGCAAGCGCATTAGGCACACGTGCACCAAAGCTCTCTTGCACGCACTCATAAAATCAGTTATTAAGCCAGTTGCAGCCCACCACTGATTGGAAGGAACATCAAGTGTATGAGTTTATTTATCTTTTTTTTTTCTTAATCATAAAAAAAATCCCAAAACTATTCCGGGAAGCTCTTTGTTCTAGAGATGTCCCTGAATGCAAATGGTCTCTCTGCCTCCTCAGTTGGCCTTGTGCTCTGCATACCTTTCCAAGAATGGTTCCTAAAGCTGCAACCATGCCTTTATCAATCTTAATAAAGGCTGTAGGACTTAACAGATTTAAAAAGGAACAAGCTCTATTGAATTTAGTTGTATTTATTTCTGATTATTCACACATCACATTTAGCTGCATGGAAACCAAACACATCAGCAACGTCCTAATCTTTGCTGAGTTCATTGGAAGTTTATTCTTGCATAACTATGCAGAAACCTAGCACCCAATCCTGCACATGCTTACACAGAACTAATTCCCACTTTGTCAGAATAGGACCAAAGCACTAAATCCAGGTTGTTAAGAGCCTGTTCCCCACATCAATCAGCATCAGCCAAGATGGTTGAGGCTACTAAAATCAACCACTGCTGGAGAACTGCTGGAGAACCACACTTTCCCCACCCTTAAGCATGTATTTCTGTGTAGAGAGAAAGATGGGAAGCAGTGAGAGCATAGTTCATATATGTATTATAACGTGGATGGGCAGTAGATTTAAGGGACAAAAAGGACATTTGTTCCTCTACATACCACTTTAAGAGCTTATCTTTCAGCTGGTCCAGACGAGGTAAGGTACTTGGAAGCTCACCAGTAACCAAGTTGCTTTATTGCAGTGGGATTTCTCTTCCTTCCCACAAACAGCTGCCATTTCCTCAAAAAGCTCCACCCACAACTTTGCCTTAATAAATGAGCTGCTTAGACTTACATTAAATGGAAATAACAGAGGTAGGGAAGGAAGGAGTTTAGGGAAGCAGGAATTGCACTATCTGGCAGGAGAAATACCTTTTACAACATGCTGAAGATGCAAAGATACCAGTGTGAAAACCGTCCCTTCAAGGAGAGGAAAAGTTTTGGTAAAAGGACTGTTGCTTCAAAGGGAGACTAGGATTATATAATAGACTGTCATGGAAACTCCTAATTTTCTTTCATTTTCCTACTTGCTTCTAATCTACTCATCCATCTAACATTGTATTTTTGGATTCTCTTTCCTAAACGGGGCTCTTAGATCTGTTTAACATTTCAGTTCTGCTTTTCCTTCACCCAAATGCTCCCTGTTCTTCTATTTATTTTCTTTACATGAACCTTGCAAGTTAGATTAGGTTGCAACATGGTGATTGATCCAGAAAGCCCTATGAGGTGTAAAACATTTTAACCTCTTTGTTCTACCTGCTAATTCATAGGAGCTGTATAGAATGCAAGAATTAACCAAGGGAAACATTTCCTGACAGTTGGCATTCCAACTGACTTTAAGGAAGCTGTTGGAAATAGAACACAAGAATCTTGTTAAAGAAAATGGGGCACCTGACCCATTAGAGAGAGGTGGAGAACAGTGCCAACTAGTATATTAAATAATTTCGTAACATAGTGAGACGATGGGAGTTGTAGCATCTATATGGCCACAGTTGCATATTTTTATGTGATTTTTCTTCCATTTTTACCGCTCTACACTTTTTTTAAAAAAAAAGTTGCTTCTTAGGCTAAAACATGGGAAAAGTTAGTGATTTCAACATCTCTATTTGGGTGGAGTAACTTGGTTTATGCAGGCAAGCATTCTCATAACTTCTGAAGTAAATTGGGACAGAATAAATAAATATTATGGGTTGAATTTTCCTAAATTCCTATAGCTACTGTGTGAATATATATGTCTGGGTTTTTGGGTTTTTTTAGCAACTCGGATAAATGAGACAACAGAAATTCGGGGGAAGTATCCCAATAAAATTCCGGTAAGCAAAATTCTTTTTTCCCCTTTTTGATAGAATGATTCCACTTTCGCTGTAACTTCCAAGAGCTCAGCAAATGAAACAATACCATTAACTGAAGATATAAGTAATTGGAGAATGAACTTCTATTTTGTGGAGAAGCTTCAGTGTTATACAAAAACTTCTCCTATTCATCCAATTGTCTTGTGACATACTGTAGATTCAACAATAACGATGAGGCCCGACAGCCTAAATCTTGGCTTTCTTGTCAGTTTGGTATTTTACCTTTTGGGTCACATCAGCTTAACATTTGCCCATGGTAAACCACAAACTAGCTAGATTAGTGTGGCTTGGGGAAGTGGAAGGACTCAGAATTTGCTTCTATGCTGTCAATTTTTTGCTTGGAAACTGCAGAATAGACTTGACTTGGTTCAGTCAACATTGGGAACTTCCTGCCCTGTCTATTTATGAACAAACTTCCTAAAACATGCTTTCTAGATGAATAATAAAATGCAAGAGCAATGAAAGGAAAAAACCTTGATTTTGGCAGTCTTATCTTAACAGATAAGGGCCTCCTTGGGGTGCCATCAGCCAAACAGTGCAGGCTGGTGACCCCCAGGGGGAGGGCCTTCTCTTTGGGGGCACCTACCCTCTGGAATCAATTGCCTCCAGAGATAAGGAGAATCCAAGACCTCAGTGCCTTCCGCCGTGCCCTTAAAACCTTCCTTTTCCAGCAAGCCGGACTGACCTAATTTTTTAAGTGTTTTTAAGTGTTTTGTTTATCGTTTTTAATTAATGGGGCCAAATTTATATATACTTTTAATTGTATTTTAATATTTGTATTTGATGTTTTTACTTGGCTGTTCACCGCCCTGAGTCCTCAGGGAGAAGGGCGGTATACAAATTCAAAAAAAAAAAAAACCCATGAGAAACAGGAAACTTGCCTTCTACTTCTAATCTCACTGTTTCAAATGCCACAAGATTAGTCATCAAAAGGAATGAAAGACATTGAAAAATAACCTGAGATTCTGAGTTTCTTATATATGAAACTTAGTATCCAGTCACCTTAATATTGCTAGCCCTTTGCAAATAAAACCCAAATATTTTTTTTAGAAAAATTATAAACCAGGAGTCCCAAGCATAGGGATTTTTCTCCAATAATTTCCACACACTGCTCTTTGGTTATGTCTTTGACCAACTTTCCAGAATGACCTTTGTGGCATGTAAATGGAATCATGCTGGTGGATGGAATGACTTGGAATGAAATTGAAAGACTCTTTGTGCTCACATGATAGACCACTTCGTAGTTTAACTTTGATACTTTGATAACGTTTATCAAATAAACCACAATAAGAATCCTACATTAGTTGAGTCATTCTTTGCATCTGATGGTGAGCTGCGGCTCATGAAAGCTTATGCCTTTTAATAACACTTGGTAAAAGCTACCAGAATCCTAATTTTTGCTACCATGGAATAAGCACAGCTTTCCTCCTATGATGCCAGCACTACAGTACAAATGATTGTTACATGATTCAGTTTTAATGTCCATTTCAACTTCTGGAAATGTGACATAATGAAAATAATGAAAGAGGGGGAAAGGTTCTCACGTTTTTGCTCCTATGTTGGGGGATCAGATGATATTCTGTAATCAACTAATCCTTGATTTGAATCTGCCTACCTTAATCCATGGATCTTAACCTAAGTTCTTCAAATGCTAGAATCTGCCTTAGTTGCCTTTCTGCATTGCGTAGAATCTTCAAGTAAATTTAGGGTTTCTCCTACATGGTAAAGTACTAGCTAAGACTTAGGTGGAATCAAGAAGTTTCAGTTCTGATTCCAATTTTGTCTCTATGTTAAGACATTAAGTCTTAAACTATAGTTTATTGAATAAGTTAGAGATGATTTGGGTTGCTTGTATTATACTGAGATAACAATTTATAAGCTAAAACCAATCTAGCACGATTTCATGCAGTGTATGAAATAAGATGTCAAAGCTTCAGTCCTATGGGAATTTAGGAGTCACACCTGGAATATTGGATGGCTGGATATTAAAGAAGGAAAGAGCTTTTACTTCTTTAAAATGTATAGAGAAGGTAATGTCAGCAAATGTTACTTGTTGTATAAGCCACACCTGCTGAAAGCTGTTTTTCAGTATACATCATCAAATGCAAGATCTTGTCCTAATGGATGACCTGGCTATCTAACAACCTACAAATTTCCAATCATTACTTCTAAGGTGACAATTAAAAATGTTCCAATCTATTTTATAGGATTGTTATAAGCATCAGCTGTCATGAGATTTGCATATTGTGCTAATCTATGATTTCGCGGCAAGGTTTACATGACATGCCAAGCTGAAGAAACCATTATAGCTTGGTGTCACATGTGAGGCAAATGTGATTTAAGATTTACTATTTTTCAAAAGTATACAAATATCACTTCAGCACTCTACTGGTTGGTGGATCAATGGAAACCAATTTTAATTTTCCAAGTCCAAGGCAGAGATTTGTTCCTCCACAGCTCTGCTGACATTCCAGAAAGCTCTGCCCTCAACTATAGTTATAAACAGAACTTAAGGTCTATTGTTGTCACCCAAAGCTGTTGAAAATAAAAGATCTCATCTATGAAGCCATTCTAGGAGCAATAGGCCTTAATCCTGGATTGCACTTACATTTATCTTTCTATTGAACTTGTCCCAACCATTTCTCTGCTGAACTTGGAGTAATTTCTGCATAGCTCCAGATGTCCATCTTTTTTTAGTGGCTTGCACAGACCTGTCAGCTTGCCCAGTTAATATGGCTTCCAACCTGCCCCTTCAAAAAACAAACCCTTATAATTGGAGGTGAATTATAGCATCTTGATAATTAAATAAATTCCTTTGTCCACAGGTGGTAGTGGAACGTTACAGGAAGGAGAAGACTCTTCCCCAGTTGGATCGGATCAAGTTTTTGGTTTCTCCAGATATATCCCTGTCCCAGTTTCTTTTCACTCTGAGGTAGATGGGGACTGGAATTGGGCCATGGGAAGAATATTGCTTTTCATTCTGAGGTTCTCAAGCAAACAACATTATATATAAGCTATCTTGTTTATATGCTTTATGTTTCTAAGGAAAAGGAGATGGTTTTACTTATTGACATTAGAGCCACATTACCCTCAGTTTAAGCATTCTCCTGTATAGTTCTTACTCCAGAATAGATTGTTGATGTTAGCAGAAACTGTCTATGGACTTTGCAGTGCTTCTGAGTTCTTTGTCCCAAAGGTGCTTTTCCAAAAGGCAACTGGACTTTGTTTTTCCTTGAAGATGTTTCGCTTCTCATCCAAGAAGCTTCTTCAGTAAGAAGCTTCCTGGATGAGAAGCGAAACATCTTCAAGAAAAAACGAAGTCCAATACGTTGCCTTTTGAAAAAACACCGTTGGTTGAAAACCATGATGTGGATGACTGAGAATCTCCATAGACCACCGGTGTCAAACTTGCATCATCACGGTGGCATCACGTGACTTATCGGGACTTTTTTCCCCTTTGCTAAACTGGGTGGGGGCAAGGCCAGCACGTGACGCATCTGGGCTGCAGGCTGCAAGTTTGACACCCCTTCCATAGACATTCTTTAAACTTGCACCCTTTCTAAAAGAAGATCTAATGTTTTCCATCTGACAAAAAGGCCCATTGAAACAAGAGTGTAATACTAGAAACAAGATGTCTTAAGTAAAAAAAAATCTCGATAATATGGATCTCAAAACCTCTCTCTGCTTCCTTATGCTGTTCCCAATAACCAAATAAGAGCCATGTCAGGCCTGGAAGCCATCTTTTACATTTGGGCCTTCAGGCCTGCCACATTTTCTACTGTGGGAAAATGGGAGGGGGGATATAGAGTATGGGTAATGTGTAGTCAAAATAACATTCTTTTCTCAGAGAGTCAAGGCCACCTTGCAGTTGTGATGAAGTGACTGGGAGGCATCTGCAGTTTTGGATGGTGCCTGATTGGATCATGTGATGGACATGTGCGTGCTGTGCAGGGACTTGAACTTTCTTTTGGGGTAGGGAAAACCTGGAAACTTTCAGATTTGGGTTTTCCCAGATGTGCCAATATCACATCTCTAATAATATGGAACTTTGAGGAAATTCAAGCCTCGGAGTCTTCTTTCGTTAGGGGTATTACTTGAACCTGACAAGCCATTTGCTGATATAGGGCAAGAATGTGAATGTGGCTTTGCATGCCTGCAACTGAATATGGGAAGTGTCTCTATGGAGGAGCAGTTCATCAGGGGAGATGTCAGCCTATGTTCTTGGAAAAACACTAGTGGGCAGGGCCAAGATGACCTAGTAATGGCCTCATCCCAGTTCAGCATACTTTCCTACAGATTTGAAGGGACTTAACATGGCATGGATGAACTCGTCTTGATTTTCTAGAAAATCCTTTTCTTGAGACTAAAAACTTATTCTCCAGGTTCAATCTTGGCAATGCTGGGGTAAAACTATTGGGAGTGGGAATTCATGCAACTCCAAACTGATTGGTGGGGTGCTGCCTTCCCTCATCCGGGGCCTATGGTAATGGGACACCCCCACTTCAAAAAGGATTTAGAATGTGTGCTTCGGGCCTCATGTGAGCAAAGCATCTCTTTCAATCATTTAGTCTCTTCGTTTAGTCATCCATGTCCTTTTTCAAGCTTGCGTGCAAGAGGGCCGAAAAGCTGCTGCTGTTTAATGGAGCAAATAATTATGGAACTCATAAAAGCAGCTGCACTGTTGTTGTTTTTTTAGGCTTCTGCATGAAAAAAAAAAAGGCAAATGGGTTTTCATGAATAATAGAGGTGCGGCCTCCACACAAGATCTTCTGAATCAGTTTTGAAATGTGTGTACAGCCCTTCCACGCTCCAATCCTTTCAGAGGCAGGTGGAAGCCTCTTTATTTTGACAGATGTTTTTTTTTAAATCCTCTTCAGTGTTTTTAGACCGCTTAACTGCTACTGATGATTGGGATTCTTAAATTACATTAATTGCTGTTATTGCTTTTGCTCTTATTGTGTTTTTGCTATGTTGGTTTGAGGTTGTCTTTCTCATGCTGTGATTTTATTGATTAGTGTATGAGGGAACTCTACAAGAAATATGTGGGTCAAATCTAGCTAGCAGCCCATTCCTTTTCTTTCTTCTGATTTTGCTTTGACATCTCTTTTTTTTTTCTCCTTCTCCAGAACCCGGCTGTCTCTCACAGCTACACAAGCCTTCTACTTACTTGTGAACAATCAAACGTTACCCTGTCCTAGTCTGACTATTTTAGAGATCTACAATGACAACAAGGATGAAGATGGCTTCCTCTACATGACCTATGCTTCTCAAGAGATGTTTGGTGCAGGAGTCTCTTTGGAACAGCAATGAAGCCATCTCAGGAGGGTGGGATCCCAGAGAGCCAAAAATCAGTGAAAAAAAATATTTTAAAGACCATTTTCGCACAAGAATGGCATGGGAGGGTCTTCGCAGCCAGACACAGGATTTTCTCTTATGACTTTGGTCCCTGATGCTACTACTTCACTGTTTCACTTGAATGGAATTTTGGGAGGATGTGGGACTTTGAGGTTCTTACTAACTCTGCAGGTTGTTAGTTTAACCCACTGCCAACTTATTCTTTTTAATTAATCTCACTTATTTATTTATTTATTTACTTACTTACTTACTTCACGAAATGAATTTCACTTCCCATTGTGCGCACTGAGAGCGGAGCCTTTTTATTAGGGGGGAAAAAGCCAGTTGACCTAAGGAGGAGAATCTGGAGAATGCTACTTGTGGACATTTTAACTGCACAGTCATTGGTTACTGCATCCCTCCCTCTCTTTACCCCCTTTTCCCTTAAGATTACAATGAAGAAATAAATGAGCGCCATTCCATATCTGATCTGAGAAGGGTTCTATTTCTTTTTCTACTGATAAGAAGATTAAATGAATGACTCAGTACCTTTTATAATCATTTGGTTGCCTTTTCAAAAGAGGGGCAGAGGGATGCTTGACTTTGGACTTCTTTTCAAAGATCCTTTGAAGCCTTTGTAGGATTTGTACTGTAGGCTTTTTCCCAATCCACAGACTTCTAGATGAGCTGCATAAGGTACTGAGAATAAATTCTATTTATTCTCAGCCAGCATGATTGGCCTTTTTGGCTGGAGATGTTCTACTGGATGATCTGATAACATGATACACTGGGAAATGCTGGCCCAGTGGATTCTGTGTGGGTTAATAAAGTAATCCCTCTTTGGCTTATCCTCATAATTTTTTAAAAAATGGCCTTAGTGTCTTGCCCGTCATCATGACAAATACCATGAGACATGGGAGATTATTATCATTTAGTCCTCAGAACGATTCAGGATCTGAGATGGTTATCCTTTTGGGCCCATGAGTATCTTCTTAAGTAGAATTAAAAAGCTGAATATATTGAACAGACTTATGGATCAGTGGTCAGTAAGGAAGCATGTCAAGAACTTGGCACTTTGGAGGTTCTCAGAAATCAATGATGCAATAATATGTACAAAAGCAGGTTAGGCTATGACTGAAGAATGTGCTCCAACAAATTGGCCTGAACAGTAGGTGGATCCGCATATTGTGTGAAGCTGTGATGGGTTTAAGCAAGATTTATTGAGAAACTACTCTATAATTAGCTTAGTTTGCTAAACCATAAATGGTTTATGCATGATTTATTTTCAGATTTGTTTAGATACCCAATTCCAACAGTAGGGTTTGCCCAATGTATTGATCCTGATTTTTTTTAATCTATCTGTTTGTCTGTCTGTCTGTCTGTCTGTCTGTCTGTCTGCCTGTCTATCTAATTAATCTCTATCTATCTATCTTATTAATCTCTCTCTCTCTCTCTCTCTCTCTCTCTCTATCTATCTATCTATCTATCTATCTATCTATCTATCTATCCTCCAAGTATGATATGTAACCAAGTCCCTGACTCTTCAGTTAACCAAGTGGCAAACAATTATGAGAACACCAGTCAACATGACTTGATTTGGTGCCATACTGAAGACTTTCAACAATTCCTGTCCTAATTTTTAACACATGGGCAGTTTTAAATGTTATGTGTATTGCAGCTTCTTTTGGCTTCAAGCTATATCATGCAAGCAATATCTCATAGCTTCATTCTTGGAATGTTGTTAAAATTCCCAATTTAAAATGGTTTTGTACTCTGACAGAATGCAAGCTCTTCCTTTAGGTTACTTTATAATAGGTTTTTAGTTATAATTATCCCTTTGGGTTGTTGGCTAGAAAGCTGTCACCCAATTAAATAAATCTAACTGGATTTGGTTGATTAAACATTAAGGACATTGTACGTACACACATACACACACACACACACACACACACACACACACACACAATTCTTCTGAAAGAGGGAGGTATACTTTGTGTCATGTTTTGAACTGAGCAGGGAATGAAACAGGTCAGTTTTTCCCCCAGGGGACAGAACTATTGCTTTTTTAAACACGGTATCAGTCACCTCAAAAATTCATATCTTTTTTAAAGAAAACAACACAAAAATTATGTGTCTGAATATAATCTGTTGCTGCACTGTCAGCCAGATCCTATCATATTTCTGCTCCATATTATGAAATCATTACACAATCATTTATATCCAGCTTTTTAGGCCAACAATCCTTTCAAAGCAGCTTACGAGCAATAGAAACAGTGGCCTATCAAACAGAGTAGAGTAATTTAAAAAAGAAAACAAACCCTAAAATGCCTTCCCCTGGTGCATTTGCTGGTGATATTTTCCCTATGGGGTTGAGGGAAAATCCAAGTCGCTTCTGTGACATCAGTCAATATCTTCCTCTTTTAATGGGTTGGTCTAATTAGATCACTAAATTTTGCAACTGTAAAATATGGGTACGTTGGAGGGGTATTGCATTAGCACTGAATCAGATCCTGGGAAATTAGGGCTCTCGAGAGATTTGAGAAAACAGATTTTTTTCTATTAATATAACTCACAATTTCCCCTCATTGTCCTATATCAAAATGTGCCCTTTGATATTTGGCTCCTTCTCGCATTCCATAAATAACATTTCTGCTTCTGTTGATAGGAATGCTTTCTTCCTTAAAGAGTCATGCCATAACCCAATTATTGACTCTCATAAATCTTACTCATTTCCTCTTAATTTCTCTTTGAAGCAGAGATGGGCAATGTATGGCCATGTGACTGCCTCCTACTCTCATCCTGACTATGAGGGATCAGCTTAGACTTCCTTCTCAGAAGCAACAGAGGGAAAGTAACGAGACAGGAGGGAGAAAGTGAGGGAAAGATGGTAGCAGAAAAAGACAGTGAGGGGAAATAAGAGTGTCAGCAAGAAAGACAGGTAGCGAGATGGCAGCCACTAAGAAAATGAGGATGAGAGAAAGAGCAAAGGAAAGTAAATGTCTCTGGAGATTCTCAGTCATTCAGGTTATGGTTGTCCCAAAGGTGCTTTTTCAACTGGATTTTGTTTTTCCTTGAAGATGTTTCACTTCTCATCCAAGCTGCTTCTGAAGAACTGAAGAAGCTTCTTGAGTGAGAAGCAAAACATCTTCAAGGAAAACCAAAGTCCAGTTGCCTTTTGAAAAAGCACCTTTGGGACAAAACAAAAGAAAGTTACAGAGAGAGCTGGAGAGAAGTCAATGGCAGGCGCGTGGGGGCACTAGTGATCCTTCGGGTGCCACTCACTTGCACCTATAGTGGTTTGCACCATTAAGGAATAGTGGCTAGGATGCCCTGTGGTAGAGATCAAATCATCAAGCTGCTGGCCGTAGCCATGAGATCAAGACCTCACTCTCCCTCACTTTTTTTTTTTAATATGAAATGACACATGTGAAAAAGTGTAGGGCTTCAATCATGCAGTGGCAACCACAATCTTAACCTTCCCCCAACCAGAGGCCAAGTGAGATCTACTTGATGGATCTTACAGATCAGTGGTGAAATTCAGCCAGCTCTATCCAGATTGCGCGATCCGGTAGTGCTGGTGGCGGGAGGCTCCACCCATCCGCCTGCCTGGACATCATCACGTTCCATTTTTGACCCTCTGTGCATGTGCAGAAGGCTCTGTGCATGCATGGAGGAGACGTACATGCTCATATTTGCGAACTGGTAGCAAAGGTAAGCGAATACCACTCCTGTTACAGATGTTATTTCGTGAGGAGGGCTACTTCAATTATACCAAGAGCAGCCAGTTTGGCTATTAATCCCAAACACCTTTGAAGTTCTTTCTTTCTCCCAATCAAAGGTACCAGGGACAGGATAGGGCAGGGGTGTCAAACTGGCAGCCCATGGGCCGGATGCATCACCCGCAGATCATGCCCACCCTAGCTCCATGAATGAGAAAAAGGTTGCAAAACGTCACATGACGGCAATGTGACGCAGCGAGTTTGACACCATGGGAGAGGGGAAGGTTTCACTTCTCCCCATCCTTTTCTGCTGTGTTTCACATACATGTTCCTGCATCTCTGTGTAGAAGCGGTAAGGAAAATAGCTTAAAACATACTATCAATTTTGCAATGTTCTTATCTCCATTGTGGAAGCCAGAAAACAAAACCGGCAAATGAATCTGTTCTTTCTGCTGCGGATGACACAGTAATCCGCACAGAGTGGACATTACCCCATAATTAATCTTGGATACCAGGCAGGTAAAATGGCCTCCCAACATGGAAATGATCAGGTTTCTATATTCAGCACATGCCGAGACTGTCACCGACCTGATTTAGTATTTTGTGTGAACAGAGACTAATGGAAGCAAATGAGAAAGAAAAAAAGTTCTACTTTTTTAGCAGAAACCTAAATGAATGATTGGCTTTATAATCTCAGGAGGCACATGTTGGGCCAAGATGGAAATGTGAATAATTATTAGCTATGCTGTTCTTGCTTCTTTTCCCGATATCCCAGGGGTGAAATGCTCCCAGTTCGGACCGGATCGCCTGATCCGGTAGCAATGGAGGCGGGTGCTTCGGAGAACTGGTAGCAAAAATCCCTGGCGCCCCCCTCCCCCATACCCAGCTGAGCCGCGCAATCATCAGAGACTTTTTTTTATTTTTAAAAGCATTTTTTCTACAATAGAAAAAATGTTTTTAAAAGGAAAAAAAGAAAAAGCCTCTGCCGATCAGGCAAATCAGCTGGGATCGTCAGAGGCTTAAAAAGAAAAAAGAAAAAGCCTCTGCCGATCAGGCAAATCAGCTGGGATCGTCAGAGGCTTTAAAATCATTTTTTAAACAACCTCTTCAGCCGAAGAGGTTGTAGAAAAATGGTTTTAAAAATAAAATAAAAAATAAAAAAAAGTTGGCCAGCCCACTCAGTCATATTACCCACCACCACCAAGCCACACCCACAGAACCGGTAGTAACAAAATTTACATTTCACCACTGCGATATCCATGTTTTTCTGTCCTAGATTTTTTTCCAGTGGATTACTAAGTGTAGTTTTTGGAACAGGTCTGGTATATGGTACCCTTTTGATATCTACCATTATGGCTTTTTAATCTATAAATTTCAAGATTGTGGTTTTTTTAGACCCAATTGCAAAGCTTTGTTTCCAGAATTCCCTCCACATAAACTCGAATTCTCCAGTGATATCTTCATCAAGGCTAGTAAAGAGGAATGTACAACTCAGAGTAAAATCGGAAAGGATTAGATCTCAACACCACTTTTGAATTCCTAGGAGAGAGGAGGAAAGAAGTAGGATATAGCAGTAGTGTGGGAGGGGGTCGGGGGTCGGACTGGATTGCATCTCTATCAGCTGTTCCAGGTTTCTATAATAAAATGCAACTGGTAAAAAGGGTGTCAAACTGGTAGCTCGCGGGCCAGATCTGTCACTTTCAGCCCCCCCCCCCAGCTCCGCAAATGGGAGAAATGTTGCAAAACTTCCCATGACGGCAACA